TATGTTATGTAATTTGGTCAAAATAAAATATTTGTTTATTACAGAACTGAATTCGACATTTGTACTCAAAAATTTCTACAAGAAAGTGATGTTAATCAAGATGTTCAAATTTCACTAAAGACTGCAGCTACCAAACATTCAGTTGGGACAGGACAAGATTTTATACGGTGCACCTGTACCAAAAGTTGTGCTACAAATAGGTGCCAGTGTAAAAAAAAATGATTGTCTGTAATTCGAAATGCCACAACAGTACACCCTGTAAAAATAAATAAAATATTTAATCTTTTATTTATGTTACACTGAGAAGCACTTGAATAAATATTGTTCATCTAATTGATTTCCTTTTAATTTTATTTTAACCATTAATATACTTGAATAATAATTTTAAATCAGTTCGGCCTAGGACAAACTAGTTTAGCCTAAAGTATTTAGGCCAAACTAGATTGTCCTAGGCTAAACTAGTTTATCCTGACACGCGTAGGACAAACTAGTTTGGCCTAGGATAAACTAGTTTGGCCTGAAATCGGGTTTGGCCGGTAACATATATATATATATAATTGAGATGGGTTGATGATGATAATAATAATAATAAGCACACAGCTCAAACAGTTATGAGTTGATAGTTGAAACTGTATTGACGTAAGTACATATTTTATGCAATAAATTGTGCATATTTCTTCATACCTATGGTATTCCTTTCAAACGTTTACACAAAATGGCATGCATCGCTTTCAGACTTTTTTAGGGTATACAGGTGACAAATTTATCTTATCTGTGTGAACCACATGTCGTTTCATATTAATTAATTGATGCTCTAAAACTTTCTAATTGGAAAGTTTGCTCTATCTGTTTTCATTTTCAATTTGCACTGCCTATCTTCCAAATTTTGCCACTAGGGGCGCTGCTGTCATTTGCATTAGGTTGGGCATAGTCGCTTTACTATACTGTTACCTCACTTGCATAGCTGTAGCTCTCTCTGTTTGCTGTTAAAGGGACTTTCCTATGCACCCTGTACATATATAGTCGATTCCATTTAATTGGCCCACCAGTTAATCGGGGCAGTCACTTTATTGGGCCAAATCTCAAAGAACAAAAACCAAATTAATAAATTAACACATCATTTAATCGTTTAATTGGGACGGTAGCAGAAAAGGAATTTAGCAATTTGATATATTTTAGGGATCTACCAAAAATATGTAGACACTACATACACTAATGTTGTGTAGGCCTAATGGTTGGCAGAAACAAAGCGAATTTGTCTTTTGCTCGGGCAGTTTGGTTTTTCCGGAGGGGGTTAGCATAGCGGGAAATATCATATATGTGAGGCAGACCTGAATGGAGCTAGTCACATCAGAGCAGACCTGCTCTGAATTATACCAGACAATCTCCTTAAAAGTGAAGGGACAAAGATCCCTGGACAATTTTTCAAGATCTCTCAACCAAGTTGGAAGACAGAGTTTCCTTGGAAGGTATTGTGTGTATGATTACATCTAGATTCAGACAGCAACCATCCGATCATTGAGACCAGCATCCGGAGCTGGCAGATTCTACAGACACACTGCTGAAGTAGCCTGTCTCTAAGTAAAGGATACTTTGCTCAAAAGGAAGACAGTTTAATTAATACATGATCTAACTAAAAAGGGAGAAAGGGAAAAAACCCTTTGTACATCATTACTAATACTGTATTTGGCAATACTAGCATGATGCGAATCAGTTATCTATTGTCGTGAGTCTGACAAATTTATAGTACAAATATTTTCTATATTTTGGTTTAATAAAGCATTAAAATAGGTACCTAATTATAATTTTTTACTTACATATTTATTTACCTACCTATTACACATATTTTGTGTGCTTGCACGTGTGCGAGAGATTAAAAAGAAACTTTCAAAAACTGCACAAGCATGTTTGTTCAGATAAATAATTTTGATTAACCTAGAAGAATAGTAGTAACAAACAAATGTAAGAATGCAAGGATTACTTGATTCATGGGTGTGGCTGTTGAATGCCAAAGATAAAAGAACAATGCTTAGTACTCTTAACACTGGACAAAGTATTAAAAAGTACTAGGTGATTATTACATAAACCTGAATAATATGAAGTTTTACTGGCTGGAAGATATTGTAATTTTGATTAAGCGGTCGTTGATAGGTTCATAGCCTTCCACAAATTTTGTTAGGCATTTTTCGATAACAAAGGCACTCAATTATGTCCATTTTTGGTCATACCTGAAACATATATCATGTGGTTAATTGTATCAAGTATCAAAATGACCACTCTCTCTCTCTAATGTGTTTCGGAGATGTCACAAATCAGTATAGTCTCTCGATTAAGCTCTCTACTATTTAGAGCTTTCCAGTCTGTAAAAGTCCTCTTACATTCATTGTACCTAAGGATAAATTTCTCCTTAGATGTAATTTTTAATTTCTTCCAGATGCATATTTCACCTGTGGTGCCTGGTTGCCTATGTCCATACACCCAGTAACCCATTTCACACCAAATGACCTGGAATCAGTTTGGTGCCGGTTGCTGACCGGATCACCATGCACATCATTGATACCATCATTGCTCATCCTCATCATAATATTCTCATGGGAAAATAATCAGGTGGTTTCCCATTGCCTGCCTGATCCGTTGATTAAAAACGGTTTCGACTTTTAGAACTTTTTCAATTCAAATGATTTTTATGGCAATGAGGGCAAATAAAATTACAAATTTTTAACTATCAGAATACACAATGAATTAAATCTAATAAAAATTATACTGAACAAAAATACAAAAGTAAATTAGCACATAGAAACACCATTAATGAAGCAAGATGCTTTTTATTGCAAAATACACAACTTCAGATTTTAGAAGCTTAAATAGTACCATAATTCTGGTATATCAAGCTTGGGGACATAGCACCGTGACATTACCCTGGTTATTAAAAATTTTGTAATTTAATTTATTTCAATTACATTCCATACTTGTGCATGAGGAACAATTTTGAAGTGTGTTCTTCACAGTTTGTACTCCATTTTTCAAATAGCAGTATTCTATTCTCTGTGTGATAATATTACCTGAATAGGACTGTCAAACTGTCAGAAGCACTTGCATAAATAAATCTTTTCTGTAACACCAATAAACAGTTTTGTTGTTAATTTTGCAACATATCTTGGCATGGAGTGTCTTTACATTTTATAAGTTACTTATAAATGCAAACACTTCAATGCAATGCTTTTTAATATTTATAAATAAATTTTTAGTTTTTTTTTATGTACTTTTATGTACTTTTATTTGTACATAAAAGTACAAATATGTACTTTTATTGTTTAAATTCTGTAAGCAAAATTTTATAAATTAAATTAATTATCATGCAAGAGCTATTTACAATTATATATCATGTTCAGGTTAAAGTGTAAGATGAAAGAGGGCTGTAATCATTAAGTTACTCCCATATAAACACACTCTAAAGCTAGAACCATAAATTAAAAACACTAACTTTATGTGCTGGAGTAATTATAAGAGGTGTGATGTTTTTTTAAGTTTCTCCCATTTAGCACTGAGTGACCAACATGGTTATATCTAAAACCATTCTGGAAGTGAAGAATGAAAAGAGGTTCAGGTAGAGTAAATGGCAATGCATCTGCACAATAAGCAGTAGTAGTAGGTTTGAGTACCACTCTAGGCTGATCTTTTCTTCCAGAATATTCTAAAATTACATTTAATTAATTATTTATTATTATTATTATATTTAACAAGACATGGCAGCCTGCCTCCTACCGAATTGCTTAGTAATTATTCAGCCTTATAGTCTGATAGAGAATCTGGCTATTTGTTCAGCATTTCAAATAACTATCAAGTTGATTATATTTATTATATATATTTAATTTATATATATAACAAAACAGATAAAAATAACCTACCTTGTTCTGAAGGTTTATTTTCTAACCACTGGATTTTTTTAATTGCTAAAACTGATTTGGTAATCTGAACACCAGGAATACAGGCTATCAAATGTTCTAATGGTACCCCTTTCCCAACACCTTGAGATTCACTACCGTGCTGTTGACAGTTTTCATTACCACCATCAACATCTGATGAAACTGCACTAGTTTCTTGAGACAGCTTACTTTCCACATTTTCTATTATTGGTAATGGGCCAAATTCTGCCAGGTAACATAAGCAAAAACTGAAATAAAAAGTTTCATTAGAATAAGGTGTAATATTGTATGACTAACTCAATATTTATTTTTTAAAAAAATGTTATAAATATGACAATAAACTTTCAATAACACTAACATTTTTGATCCTGTTGAAATATCTTCTGGTGTATATAAACATCCCAAGAAGTCAATTTATTAATAATCAACCAACCAACAGCCAAATTAAGTGGGCAGAAATTATGTTACACACATTAATTAGAAATTAAATGACAACAACAACTACAGGTAGACATTATGCGCCATCTCTTAATGAAAAAATTAAATTATAGTTACTACTTTTAAGAGATGGCACATAATGTCTACCACTAGTTGTTGTCAATTTCTAATTAATATTTGTAGTTTAACTTTAGCCCAATTAATTTGTCTGTTGGTTGGTTGATTATTAAAACATTAGGTTCTTGGGATGTTTATATATATAGGGTAAAGCGATAGCCATCTAAGCACCATGTTGGAATAGGCCAATGGGCATTGAATATGTCCCCAGGTGGTGCCATACGTAACCATCGAATGGTTATTGCTAAAAGTTTAAATAGGTCTGGAAGGAAGGAATCACTTGAAGATCCAGTGGCGTAACTGGTCAGCACACTGCACAGTAAGAGGATGCAGGTCAAACTCCCACTCTGGGCCGATTCTTTTCTTCCAGACTATTCTAAATTTAATATTAAATTATAGTTACTACTTTCATTAAGAGATGGCACTTAACATCTACTTCTAGTTGTTCTTCTCATGTAATTTCTAATTAACCCTAAACAACCCAGTAAGGTTTTGTACCTTAACTGGCCAGTAGTATCTATTAGACACTACTGCTGGTCACAGCCTTTACAATTGTCAATATCATATTAAAATAAATAAAATTATGAAATAGAATATACTGTTACTATATTTTACATGTCATAATTATTATTTACTACTTAAAATTACAGTTTAAACAAATTATTTCCTTAATTGAACATTCTGAACATTACATTTAGATTGCATAGATCACAACACTGTTTTGAGTTTTCTTGTCAAAGTTTACTTGATAAATACTGCTTGAATGATACTCCATCTCAAAAAGGAATCAGTTGCTCATCCATCTTAAGATTTTCTTCTGGTAAATAAAATTTTTGTAATTTCTAACTGATACTCCCACAATTCTCTCATAGGTACTAGTTTATCCTTTTATTTTTTGAGTAACCTGATAACTTTATTATTAAATCTTAAGAAACATTGGATTGCTGCAAATCTATATTTTCCCATAGTATCACGGAATATTGGATTGCCAAATATAGCATCCCAGTACTTTCTAAAATCCATTCTGATATGTTTATTGACACCAATAGTCAATAATAAACCTGTAAATACTTGTAACTCAATTCTATCTATTGGTTTCATGTATTTTGCAATACTCTGGTAGTTTCAGAATTGGTGTGCTTTATAGTTCCAGTTATTTTAATCTAAAATAATTTAAAATTGTCAATATGGTCATGGATTACTTTTCTCAACAGTAGAACAACTTTATGAACATGGCCACCAATTATATTCTGCTTGCTGTTTTATTATATTATAGTTCTTGTTTTTTTGTTCTTCTGATTTCCAAATTGTTTCATCTTTAGCAACATCTTTAACAATCAAATTATTATAATTATTTAGTTCTTACTCTTCAATTGAATTTTCACCATCACTACATAACTTATCATCAGTCTCAGATGCTGTTTTGGTCAAATTACTTTCATTATCAGAAGCATTTATTTCAATAAAATCCTTGTTTTCACTATAACTTTCTGTAAATGCATGGTTCTCACCATTGCTATAATCTACAGCAGTGTTTCTCAACGGGGGCGATATCGCCCCCATGTGGGTGTTTTTCCATGTTGAGGGGCGATTTGTAACAATTTATATTTTGGGGCGAAAAACAATTTTCTGGGCGATATAGTAAAACATTATATTAAGAATAATTAGGTATTTTATTCGTTATATCGTACAATAATTAAACAAATAGCATTATACTAGTCACTATTCTATTCAATGCAGTACGAATTTGGCATTATCCTTGGCCCTCGGCATCGGAATTTTGAAGTGAAGGGGCGATACTACGTAACGGTTTTATTGAAGAGGGCGATACTATGTTGAGAAGGGCGACAATTCGTTACAAGTTGAGAAACACTGATCTACAGCATGCCAAAAATTTTCATTAGTCAAAATGTTATTCTTATTCATTTTTCAAAACATAACAACGAGACTGTTATATTTTACAAAAAAATTACACTTACTCTGTTTATCTTGTCATCATTTTATTACTACTGAAGAGTAAGAAATATATGTATAATAGCACAAATCCCATAACACCCTCAAAAACAACTATTAATATAATACAATAACATCACCTCCACATTACCAGAATTTATTTACTTACAAAAATAGTACCAAGTTTTATAACCTTTTACATTAATTATAAAGTAATAATATAACTACCTATTCACATATGTACAAACATTATCAGCTTATCTGATATTTCATACATAAGAAATTTATGTTGCAAGTTTGAAGGACTGCTTATATATAGTATTTTGCTTTTTAATTTATTATTATTACCTATTTAATGGTAATGATCCTTGATGAGTATCCAATAATGTATGTACACGAGGTGCTAATGTTTTCAAAGATATTTGAACATTTGGTAGAGGATAAACACTATCTTGTTCAGCCCATCCGAGAGACTCTGATACATGAAAATGATGTTCGCAATATGGTTTTTCTAAAATTTGTTGAACTTCCTATTAAAAAATAAATAATCCATTAAGTGACATTAAGTAAAAGCATTATCTTTCCAATTACCAAAAGCAAACATTAAAATTAACATATTCTTCATAACTTGCAGCAATTTTATTAATTATTTTGTTTAATAAAATTTCTTAAAAATCTCTTTAAAATCTTTAAGATTTTAAAGAGATTTTTAAGAAATTTTATTAAACACTATAAATTTTATTAAACACTATTAAGTACTAAAAAAAATCTCTCTTTAAAATCTTAAAGATTTTAAAGAGAGATTTTTTTTAGTACTTAAACTAATTGATCTGTGTATCTTGTTTTGTTTAGAAGATTTTACCCTCTGATTTTGAGAGATTTTAATAAACAAAATTAAAATTTACTATCATCTTACAACTATTCTAAAATTATTAAAAATAATAAAGTTTTGCAAAATGGAAGCTTTCAATAAGAAAATGCATGTGTACATGTTTGAGAATAGTAAAAAGTAAAATAGTAAAAATTGATTTAGAACAACTGAAAGTGTGAGGCCCCGGAAATAGCCACCCCCCAAAAGAAAGATACGAAAAAATTTGTCAAGTTAAACCATCAAGGAAACAAATTATGTAAGTGTCAAATCGGCGACACCGGACTTTGACGTCAGTGCTCATAAAGAGTAGAAGGAAAAACAAAATTTTAGATATAGAAAAAGAAAATTTAAAAAGTTAAGATGCAGTTTAGAAAGTAAAACAAAATTAAAAATATATCAAAATGAGTGTAGATGTCATAGTCAACAATTAAACATGATCAGAGTCTAAAAGATGGTGTCAGATAAACCATCTTCAGCCGACCTTTCCCACAAACTATACGAAGCTCCATTTACACCTGGAGACAGGTGAAAGACCAATTAGAAAGTGATGTAAGGTCAGTCCGATTAGCAAAAAGCCAATCTCGAATAACTTATAAAAATACCAATTCCAAGGACAACGGGGCTTCTACTAAGACTTTCGCCAGACACCTGTTGTGTCTGTCGTCGTTCTCCCTTGGTGCTTCTGATTGCCACTATCTTGTGACTGTCTCCGAACTTTAACTCACCATCACCCCGGGGTTCCTCTCCAGCTTTACCACAGAAAAACATCAGTCATCCAATCAATACAACCAAAGACATCTTCAAGTTTTGAATCGAAGGACCTTCTCCTAAAAATACGTAAGAAATTTCGATCAAGAATAAACGGTTTGTCTCTGTAAAACACTTGTCTTTCACTGCCTCTTAAAACTGCCATCCCTACAGTAGGAAATAAAATTCCCCCCAATTGGCATTCTTACAAAAGTTATCAAATCCAAAATTATAAAAAGATAAAACTGCTTTAAAAATACTACTTTATACAATCAGATTCTATTTTTAAGTAAGTAATTTCATTAAGTATATCACATTTCTCTTTAAAAATTTAGTTTACAGAACTTGAAACAGTACACAACATTTCCAAATGACTGTTCACTTATCTTTGAGAGATGCAATTAAAGACAACAGTATTGTGTTTGTTGTTTTCCCACTCCCAAACACGCCTGCATGAATCTTGCCGGGATGCTTGGTCTTTGTTTGGCAGCCATTTGTAATGGAGCTCCTGCTTAGCAGTACTGCCAAGTGTGAAGTTTGTACAGTTATTTGGTTTTTGAACACAAAAGGCATTAAACCTATTGAAATTCATAGCCAATTGATGGAAGTGTATGGTGAGTCATGCAAGGATGTCAAAAACATCCACAAGTGGTGTAGGGAGTTTACAGCTGGTCATACTGAAATTCATGACAAAGAAAGAAGAGGGAACCATCAATTTCTGATGAGAGAGTTGCAGAGGTTGAGAAAACCATGCATGAAGATTGGCAGATTACTCTGGATTATCTCTGCATTTTTGTTCCTGGAGTTTTTCGAAGCACCATTCGTAGGATTTTAATGGAAAAGTTGCAATATCGGAAGGTGTGTGCAAGATAGGTCCTGCGAGTTTCTTCGTCACTATGCAGATGAAAAAAACAACTTTTTGGATTCAATTGTTATGGGTGATGAAACCTGGGCAATGAGATGAAAGATGAGGTTCCAATGCTTCCTCAACGACATGGCAGCAAGCTGGTATGACATGGGCATATAAAAACTGCCACAACGCCTACAAAAATGCATCGACCAAAATGGCGATTATGTAGTAAAACAGATAAATGTCCAAGCTTTAAAATGATGTAAACAGTATTGAAAATAAGCATTTTTTATTTCTAAAAAGTAGGAGACCTTACTTTTGGTATTACACTCATATGTGTTCCAAATTAAAAAAAGCCTATTTTTCTTAATACAGTCCTATACTGCATAAATTAAAATGTGTAAATTAAAACTATTGTAGTCAGTAGTTGACAAATGATGAATTAAAAAGGAGTAATCGTTTTATACCATAATTTTGCATTTTACTCTTAGCTATGTTAAAAATTCCTAGAAATTCCATTTTTAGGAATTTTAAGGGAAAGTCTCCTTAAATGGAAAATTTTTCCTCCTAAACATTTGGATACATAAAAACTTTACTGTACAAATGAAATATTTTTATAAGACAATTATTTCTTTAACATAATAAATCTGCATAATATATACAGTCAGACCTCAGTTTTCAAACATAACTTGTTCCTAAAAGTCATTCTAAACCCAATTTGTTCTAAAACAAACAAATTTTCCCATAAGAAACAATATAAAATGGATTAATCCATTCCTGACCCACAAAATAAAGCTTTCTTTACTGTTTTAGCCATATTTCATGCTAAAAATGTCTACAAATGCAGTGAAATATTGCGCATATAATATAATACTGTATTATATATAATAAATTTACGTTATTTAACTTGACTTAAGCACCTTTAAAAATGAATTCTTGAATGTCATTTATATTATGTGAATGTCAACATGGTTTTTATTAATTTAATTTGAATTCAACTGGAGCATGTACCATAAAATGATGATAGTATCTTTCCTGCATGCACATCAAAATCTAATTTAAATAGCAATGTCATTGACAATTTCTGTCCTGACATGTAATAATGTGAGGCAATCTTAGCACCACTAACTTCTGAATAGATAGTCCTCTCTGCTTATCGAGCCATCAATTTTTCTTAACAGAAATTATAGAGAGTTGACATCTGTCTCTCTAATCTGTGGTCAGCTCTTGCCAAGTAGCTTGTTTAGAAACAGTTATTGTACGGCAATCAGTGCAATCGTGAGTTTGAAAGTCTGTTCATGAGCAGATTTCTTTGAAAAGTGAGTTGTTCAAAAACTGAGGCTAACTGTACTTTGTATTTACCATGAAGTCCAAATAAGCTTTGTTCATATAAATAATTAAATCATAAGTAATTATAAATTAGAACTGAATTACAGTGCTAACAACAGAATAACAACAGAAATTTTAAAAAAGAAACTGGAATTCTGAAAATATTAAAAAGTTAGATTTCTTGAATAAAAGGCAATTCAATAATTTAATTTGTATCATCTATAATAAATTATTTTAATCTTCTAGTAACAGATTCAAACTGGACTTCACTAAGATCAAACATCTTACCCCTTTTTTCCCGCAATATATTATTCATATGTGATATTCTTTTTATTATTCCCTGAAGATGGGTGTTAAATGCATCCGAAAACATTAGCATAAAAACAATATATTGCTGGAGAAAAAAAAAAGAGAAAGGTGTTTCAGTTATTCTTCTAGTGAAATTAATAAAATACTAACTTGAGAACTTTCAGAATCTGTCGGAGATGGAGTGTAACGAAAATCTGAATTCAAACACACCATTCTTCCCATTGAACTTTCTACGACAGACACAGCATCTTTCATTTTATATAGTTCAGAAACACTTATACTTCGATGATATCTACAAAATATCATATCAAAATCAGAAATAGAACTCCAAACAACAACATAAATTATCAGTTTACATTAAAGAAATGACACTTGTAAACATTAAGTTCAATTTATTACATAATATATTATAAATTAATTCTTTAAAAACAAATTTCTCACCAAAATTAATGTTTTTAGCAAAATTAACTTCATATTAACTTGATCAATAACTATAACTAAATACACCAGCGGTTCCTAAGTGTGTACCATGGCTTCCTCACAGGGGCACCACAAAAGGTTATAAATTTTTATAATGTTAGAATTTAATGTACTTGTTAGAATTTGACATAGGGTGCCTTGAGAAAATCTACATTTAGCAAGGGTGCTGAGAATCAAAAAAGTTTGGGAACCACTAGAATACACCAAGCAAAACCTTGATATCATTAAATAATTTAATGTTTTCAGTGCATTCCAATTTAGAATTTTGTTTACCAATGATAGAGCTATGAACGAACAGACAAAACATTATATTAGTAGTTAATATGTATCAATATAAAATATTATTACATTACTGTATAATCAATTATTGTAAAACAAATCTAGTTTGGCCCAGAGAACAGACAATTAAACTGATCATTAAATGTTGATTATTACTTTTTTTATGCTCTTGTTTTTCACTCAAACTATACAACACTATCAATAAAAAAAAATCATGAAAAAAAAAAGGCAGAAATTTTTTACAAAAATTTCCTTTCAAAATTCATTGTCTAGAATATGTACAATGGCAATATCAGATTTTCGACTGTATCAACACATCAACCCTGTGGAGATTTTGATCCACTGACCTTTTAATCATGTTGAAATTTTGATCAAATCTCATCATCAGAATTGAGTTTAATCTGCTGTTGTGTACTTTTATTAGTCTGTTTTATTTGTATAGGTTCTGTGAGTTTGCCTTGTTATATCCTAATTACTTAAAATTGCATTTTGCCTTCAATGACATCTCCATTTTGAAGTACAAAATCATCTTCCTTCAGGACTGTTTTTTAGTTTTCCTATCTAGATATAATCTTTTAAACTTAATTTTCACCTACTTCCCAATTTAGATAAAACTTTGTATACATTTGTAATTCCCAATGACAATTTTTTTAGAGTTTGCAAACAATTTTAGCAGAAAATTAATGAAACCTCAAAGAGAATAATATACTAATATGTTAAATTAAATGCTAAACTAAGAAGAATTTTGATAATATAATAGTAAATTTTGATAAATAGTATAATTTTAATAGTAAATAAAACAAAAAAGTTTTAAAGAAATGCTTTTAATTCACATAAATACACTAAAAAAATAAGAATTTTTTCCAGCTTTCACAGTATTCTTGGTATTATGTGACAAAAAATAAAAGCATGGGATGCTCAAGTTTAGAAATGTTTTTATACTTTATCAATTTTTATGGACTTCCCATAAGTACTCCATACTTTTATTTTTGGTCACATAATATCAAGAATTCTGTGAAAGCTAAAAAAATGCATCTTTTACTTTTGATGCATTTATGTGAATATAAAGCATTCCTTTAAAATTTTTCTTCTATTTTTGTTCAATGTGAAATGTTCTGCATTTGTCTAAGCCAAACTCCATTTCAATGTCAGTGGAATAAGTTTGTGTAACTTCTAATACATGATTTAGCTATGTCTATGTGTATGCACAGCATTTTGTCATTATATATATATATGAGCTGAGCTAATGTGTATGTTCAAAAAAATTTGTGTATATATGATAGGAGATAGTTTGAATTTCCCATCGTTTTGTGAATAAATTGTAAACAGTTTTTCTGAAATAATTAAATTTTTAATATATTTGAAAAAAAAAAAAAAACAGCAATTATCATTTTTATTACTTCAGAAGTAATACCTTACCTTCTTTCAAAAATCTCTCTGAATTTAAAAAGAGGCAATCTTTTTGATGGTATATCCATTAAAAGAGCAACCACTTCAGATCTATAAATAAATATTTAGAATTACAATAAAAAACTTAAAAATTTAATGTTTTGTTTTATTCCACAAAATTAAATACAGCATAATTTCAGTAATAACTAACAGGGAAAAAATAAAAATTATCATCATCACTTTTTAATGGAGAATGTCTCATTTTACACAAGTTGCTTCCCTGATAAACATAATGTCTTTTTCTGCAAAATACTTTGTTTCTATCTTATAAAAAAGTCAAAAAACATTGCAATAGTGATGGCAGAGTTGTCTAGTTCATTGGTTCCACATATCAATGTGCAAAGGTCACAAATTCAAGACCCATTTAGACTTCCCTGAAATATATATTTTTGTTTCTCCAACTGCTGTCTTAATAATAAGAATTTACACAATCTATAAATACACCTAGCAAGTTTTGAACTGCACATAACAGCTGTTTTCAGTCATTTTTCTTTAATTATTATTCACTTAAGCACAAACACTAGAAAATTTGATGGACAGAAGTAACCTCTTAATGTCAGTACACAATGAATCTCACTACAATGTCTACAGGAATAGCACGTACAACCCCTTATTCATTCTGCCAATGTCCCACGATCCATTTGCTTACAAAATAGAATTGTTCAGAGCCCTTATAAAAAGAGCTTTTACTCATTGTTCTGATATACATTCCAGGTTCAAAGAGTTGCGATGTATTAAGTGCATTGCCGTAGAAAACTCATCCGGCATTTTCAAAATCCCATCTTACACTAGTCAGTTCTATTGAAAGCAATGTTCTGCCATAAAGACTTACTTTTAACAGGGTTCACTAATAGAGAAGTTTTATTTTAAATGGGTCAGAGCACATGTCTGTATATATGAGAATAAACGGGCCAATTTTTTGGCCAAAGCAGCAGCCACTGGTAATGAAAAAGTGTTTAACACAATTCCACAGCCCTGAGGAAAGGAAACATTAAAAAGTAAAATTATAGAGAAATGGCAACAGATTCGGACAAATAGTATAAAAGGGAGAAAAACCTTTGACTTACTCCCAAATATTGATGAAAGGATCTCCCATCTTAAGTGGTTTGGGAGAGAGCGTGAACTTATGATTTGTCTTTCGGGACACAATGGCCTCTGAGAATATAGGAGCGAGTTTCATTTGGATGAACAAAATGAATGTATATGTGGAGAGATGGAGACTTTGGACCATCTTATTTATGATTGCTTGGAATGGACATCTGAAAGACATTATCTCGAAATGATTGTATTGGAAGAAGGGTTACGTTTGTGTTTACCAATTAATTAGGAATGAACAGACATACAGGCAGCTTGTTACCTTTTTTAGGAAGATCATACAGAGCAAAGTATCTCAGGTTAAATTGCAATTAATTTTCCTGAGCAAGTTGCTCAGTGTTTTTTTTTTAATGTTTTGTATAATTGCATTTAAAGTATAAGTCATTGTAAAGAATATTGTATCTAAGCCTCGTTATTCAAAAACAGTGCGGGGAAAAACTGATACCCATTAGGGGAAATGATTTCCATTAAATGTATGTATACGTGTACGTTTGTATATATACTGTTTAAACAGTATTGTATACTGTTTAAACAGTATATATACAAACGTACACGTATACATACAAGATTGTGATTTATGAACTACTAAATAATAAACAACAATGATAATAAATAATAAAAAAACATAAAATAAAGTACCAACAGACAAATATCCCAGCTAACCAACATTAACATCCCTTTTAGAAGAAATCCAACAGTTTTTTTCCTTGCTGAGGAATGATAGAGATACATGAATGATCTTCACTGTCTGGAGTTTACATGATTCCTATTTTTGACAACAGGATAAATCAGCACTATGAGTACATTGGAACTACCCACACACCACCGAATATTTTACTAAAGGAAATCATTACACAATTTGAAAGGGTTTGTGCACAGTAGCCCTTGTAGCCAATGACATCTAAGTCACCTTTGATAATACACATCTCTTACATACCACATCTGTTCCTGAACAACTCAAGTACCTTGAAATTTACAAAGTAACTAAGAAAGTTCTCATTGTTAAGTTTAGGAAAAACTTCTACAATATCATGTGTGGAAGATCATTTATGAACATGTAAAATCTTATTTATATTTTTAGTTATTTTTTACTTCTCTTTTTATATTTGTATTTTTATTCATACTTATACAGTCAATCCCCCTATAACACGGTAGGTACGTTCCACTTTATACGAATTTCGCATTGTAGGAATCCTTAAATACATGAGTCAATCACAGCCTGGCACGTGTGCAGTTTACAGACTACAACTGTTTGAAAGGTTTTCTTCCATAAAATTAATCGATCCTAGACTAATTCGACTCAACATTTCCAAAACACGTATAATTTTTTGGAAATAATCCGTATAAACTATTCTATAAACAAAAAATTGTATGATTACTTACTGAGTGTGCACCATTCGACGACGCCATTGCTTAAGCTTGTTTTCATTGCGGAACAGTGCACCAAACGGTGTGTGCGTTTTCTGATAAGTTATTTTTCTGCGAAAAATTTGTTGAACTTTGGAGACATCATTAATAGAAATAATTTTTATGGCCGTTGAATAAGAAATGTTTTTTCACAAGAAATGTATAAAATTACAGTACTGTATTAGACTTACAGTACCTAATTTATATACTGTACAGATGATAGTAAACTCAACTTACCCACCTAAACTCTCTGTAGCGTGTAAGTAGTTCGGCTGTTCGTCCACTATTGGTCCAGATTCGACCAATCCTGTCGTGACACGAGTCAACGATGACATTTTACTGCATTTTATGAGTCTCTTTTAGCGTCTTTATATGAAAATAGTTGCAATTTTTTTGCCGCGATATACAAATCTGCATTATATGAACCTGCGTTATGGGGGGTCAACTGTACATTATATATGTACTTTACTTAATCTCTTATATTGTTCTGTATTTTATTTTCATTTCATTTTACTTTCCTTCAACATTCTTTTATGCATGTGACCATCAGCATGTATATAACAAGATCTATTTTATTTAAATTTTGTTTTTTGAATCTTATTCTACATAACATTCCAAAACCTGAAGATAAATTTCTTCATTTTAACTGGATTACAGGTGACAGTTGGTACTTTTATTGTAATTTAATCCAATTTTTGCAATATCTTTTATACCTCACTAGACCAAATGTACTCAAACATCTCACTGAACCAATGCCATACTGAAAAAATATATATAAATCTTTTCCTCACACCTGTAAAGCAGCTATCACAATTTCTTGGTTCAATGAAGAACTAAGAATGATTTTATCAGTTAATGTCAATTTACCCACTTTGGAAAAAACTACTAAATATGTCTGTATTTATTGTTGACTGACATGCACAAATAACACCTTTCTTAATAACTCCAGAATTGTTTATCTTAAATTACATACATTTTTGGCTGCATTTAGAGGCCTTCCTCAAGTAAAAAAACCATTCCATCAATCAAACATTCAAAATGGAGAAACTTTCTAAACACAAGTTGATTTGAAATTTACATTATAAATTAACCAACATGAATTAATTTAAATTATAAATTATTATTTTAATTTAAATATGTAGCATGGATGTCATGCCAACAACTTTAGTGATTTAAGAGAAAAATTCACATAAAAAAGGCATTAAAAAACATTTTGAAAAATGTTTTAATATCCTATGAGCGCTTTCGACATATTTATAAACGTCATTTCATTCCAATTCTGCCTGAAGACAAGTTTTCAAACAAGTTTTTAAATTGGAACAAAAACGGCATTAGCAACTTAGAACATAAGTTTAAAAATAAAGAATTAGATTTAAAATACACATAACAGTGTCATGCATGCGCCTTACTGCGTAGAGAACAAGAACGGTGTTAGCCGTTTAGAACATAATGCAAAACTTAGAATACTAATTTAAATTTGCATAACAAGTTTTGTGTTATGTTCTAAACGGCTAACACTGTTCTTGTTCTCTATGCAGTAAGAACAAAAACAACAAGCGCAACAAGAACAAGAAGCATTCGCAGGATATTAAAATGTTTTTTATAATGTTCTTTAACACCTTTTTATATGAATTTTTCTCTTAAATCATTTGTAATATTTACTTTTAAGATAAAATATAATGAACTTTCATGTGCTTCAAAAATTACATAACATAATCTATAAAATTATTTATTTTTACTGGTAGATAAAAAAACATTAATGATGTTTTTTTATCTTCTATGTTATATAATTTTCAAAGAACATGAAAGCACTTCATATTTTATGTTATTATTTTTAATATTTATTTTTAACTTATTTTATAATGTAAATTAATCAAACAAAATATGTAATTACCAATAAATTAAATTAATCCATGTTAAGCAAATAATTAAATAATCACAACACACCTTTTATGTTGCTGAGATAGTTTTATTAAAAACTAACATTTTCGACCTATTCTTTAGGCCATCCTCAGGTTGAATTAGAGAATTGGAACATCTGCATTCCAAAAATGGAATACATATATTTAAATTCAAAAATTGACAATGTATAAAAACAAGAAAATAACAGAAGAATAATGTATAAAAATATAAATATAAAATAAAACACAAACTCAGATACAGTAATAAAAATAATAATCTACTAATATTACTTTGAACAAACATTAAAATAAATTATTAATGTATAAATTATGAGTTCATGGTAAACTTTCTGGCCATAAATTTCCAAGCCAATGGTAGGCCTTTTGCATGCCTTGCATTTATGCATGCCTCTTCCAGTTTGCTTTTGTAAATTTCAATTTTCTCAGCAGTCCTTGATAATGTTGGGAAACGCAAGAGTTTGACAATATCCACTTCATCCCATTTTACTAACAAGCCATGGGTCTGTGTCATCTGGGAAAGTGTTGTTATATTGGAACCTATTCTGATGTTATATTTGTGTTCTTTGGAACCTTACTCTCAAATTTCTTGTCGTGACGCAGATATATTCTTTCTTGATTCCTAGCTGTACATTTTCTTAAGGAATCTTGTAGATCCCTGCTTTTTCTTCTTTTTAATGTTATCTTTATCATTTCTTAAAATTTTATATACAGGTAACCCCCGTATAACACGGGAGTTACGTTCCAAAAAATTGCCGTGTTATGCGAATCCGTGTTATACGAAACAAAGAGCTAGTGTGAAAAGAGGNAAAAGGGGGATTAGGTTCCAAAAATTAGAAAACATGTTGTTAAATCCTTATTTAAATCGGATTTATTATTCATTTTTTTCATAGGTAAAATAGTTATTTATTATTTAAGTAAATATTTTACCAGAGGATTATTCATTTTATATGATGATCTCAGCATGAGCATCATCAACTGGTAACAGTTTGTGGGTGTGTTTGTTAATAGCGGTCACTCTGCAACAAGAGTGCGCTGCTGTTTGTAGGCATTTAGGAACGACGGTGAAAGAAATATGGCGGCACCTGCACTATCAATAGTATCATGTGGAGGAATCTATCATTATAAAATGAGCTTTTAAAGGCAAAAGAAGGCCCCCAATTGTAAAATTTAATCATTAAATGGATTATTTGTTAAAAGAGCATTCAAAGTAGCCATGAAAACAATTAGAATGCTGGCACGGAGTTATGCAGAGGTATAAAAGAAAGCACCCTTTATTACATTTTATGTTGTACGAGGGTTTTACCCAATTTCCAAACCGTGTTAGAGTAAACCCAAGCTATAAAAGCACTGTGTTATACGGGGAATGTTCCCAATTCATGAACCATGTTAGAATGAATCTGTGCTATAGAAGTGCCGTGTTATATGGGGGTTACTTGTATGTAAACTTTGTGACTTTACCAAAACAGGGCATTTATCCACCAGTGTTTACGTCAAACCAACGCAAAGCCCACTTTACATGCCCTCACAACCAAATGATCCATATCATTATAAACTGGCAGCATTCCAAGCTCTAATCAGAAGGGCCTTTCTATATTGTGATAGTGTTGCAAATAGAGCAAATGAGATCAACAGAATTGTACAAGTATCCGAAGCTCTAGGATACAAAAAAGGCACAATAGAAGATATGAAAAAACACAACAAAAGCTTCAAAACATGATCCCAGTAAAGTCACAAAGTTTACAAATAACAAATATGAAAGGCATTATGAAAGAAATTGCGAACCAAAAGGAGTCAAGAATGGTTCTGAAAAGAGCTCTGAATTTATATAAAATTTTAAGAAATGATAAAGATAACATTAAAAAGAAGAAAAAGCAGGGATCTACAAGATTCCTTAAGAAAATGTACAGCTAGGAATCAAGAAAGAATATATCTGCGTCACGACAAGAAATTTGAGAGTAAGGTTCCAAAGAACACAAATATAACATCAGAATAGGTTCCAATATAACAACACTTTCCCAGATGACACAGACCCATGGCTTGTTAGTAAAATGGGATGAAGTGGATATTGTCAAACTCTTGCGTTTCCCAACATTATCAAGGACTGCTGAGAAAATTGAAATTCACAAAAGCAAACTGGAAGAGGCATGCATAAATGCAAGGCATGCAAAAGGCCTACCATAGGCTTGGAAGTTTACGGTCAGAGTTTACCATGAACTCTTTAATCTATGTTGGCTAATTTATATGGTAAATTTCAAATCAAATTATATGTTTAAAATGTTTCTTTGCTTCAAATGTTTGATCAATGGAATGGCTTTTTTACTTGAGGAAGGCCTCTAAATGCAGCCAAAAAACGTTTGTAATTTAAAATAAACAATGCTGAAGTAAGTATAATAGGTGTTCTTTGTGCATGTCAGTGTCAATTGTAAAAAGTTTTAGTATATTAATTAAATTATTTATTGTACATAACAAGCCATTTTGCAGCCATAAAATTTTATCCAATTACAAAATTGTTTTCCAAGCAACACTAGGTGCTCTGGCTATTTTTTAATACAATTTAATTAAGTAAAAGCAAAAAAGAACCATAATCATAGTCAAAAATAAAAATGTATGTAATAATCCATTTAGGCAAGAACATGAAGTTACATATACATAATATCATAAATTACTATTAAACTAAGTGAAAATGCTATCACATTAGTATTCGTTACAAATTATGAGTAATATGCTGAAACTTAAAGATGCAATAATATAGGGACTTTGAATAAGTTCTCGCCGTTTTTTAACAGATGGCGTTACCAGAACCACGTGTGTTTATTTTTAGATGGTGATGCATCTGTAAGGAAGTACAATAAGCGACCTTGAAATTCAGTATGTCATTTCACCGAAGTGTAAACAACTGATTTTTTCATTGTGTTAAACATGTCGAGTTTCATGCCCAAAAAAAGAGTACTTGTGGGGAATTTTATTGCACTATTTTATTCAAAAAAAATCTGCAGCTTAAGCACACAGAATTCTTGTTGAGACTTACGGTGACCATGCTCTGTCAGAAACAACATGCAGAGATTGGTTTAGACGCTTCAAAAATAATGATTTTGATGTTGAAGATAAAGAACGATCTGGTGCACCAAAAAAGTTTGAAGATGAGGAATTAGAGGCATTACTTCATGAAGACTCATGTCAGATGCTAGCTGAACTTGCAGAATCATTAGGAGTTGATCACACAACAGTTTCAAAACATTTAAAAGGATTAGGAATGATTCAAAAGCAAGGACATTGGGTGCCATATGAGTTAAAGCCAAGAGATGTTGAACGGTGTCTTTTCACACATGAACAGCTGCTTCAACGGCAGAAAAGGAAAGCTTTTCTGAATCATATCGTGATAGGCAACGAAAAATGGATACACTACGATAACCCTAAGCATAGAAAATCGTGGAGTAAGCCTGGCCATGCATCAACATCGTCAGCAAGGCTGAATATCCATGGTTCGAAGCTTCTGCTCTGCATTCGGTGGGATCAGCTAGGTGTAGTTTATTATGAGCTGCTCAAACCAAACGAAACCATTACGGGAGATCACTATCGACTACAATTGATGCGTTTGAGCCAAGCATTGAAGGAAAAACGGCCACTATATGAGCAGACACACGACAAAGTGATTTTGCAACATGACAATGCTTGGCCACATGTTGCACAACAGGTGAAAACGTACTTGGAAATGCTTAAATGGGAAGTCCTACGCCACCCGCCGTATTCACCAGACATTGCCCCTTCTGATTATCACTTGTTCCGATTGATGGCACATGGCTTGGCTGAGCAGCACTTCCATTCTTATGAAGATGCCAAAAAATGGTTGATTCTTGGATAGCCTCAAAAAATGTGTCGTTTTTCCAACATGGAATTCAAATGCTGCCAGAACGATGGGAGAAAGTGATGGCTAGCGATGGACAATACTTTCAGTGACATGTTTATTATGACTTTTTTAAAATAAAGTGTTATTTTCACAAAAAAACAGCGAGAACTTATTCAAGGTCCTTATATATAATACAGATAATTTCATTCCTTACTGTGTTCTAATGGAAAACTGTCCATATTTTGCTTTATTCTATCTAATGATTTAAACTAAAAATTTATCTAGTATTTAAAATACACTTCCCATTAATAGTCTTAATACCTAATAATTTTACATCAGCATTTTATTCAAATGTATTTCTTAATAAGTCAACTCAAAATCATAACATTAAATATCATCATAAACTAATCAAGTTACTTAAAAATACTAAATTTAGCATCTGAATGAAGAATGAATTAATGTAAAAAATGAAATCTTAATTTTAATTTATACAAAATACATACTTAAAAAAACATATTCACCCACGTTTAATATCTATTCTACGATATAGAATAATAGATATTTTTGTTTAAAGATTAAATATTTAATCACATGATACTTTTAGAAATAAGTTACATGAATCAACTAGGCATTAAAAAATTACCTAAGAATGTATAATGGAGGTGATCGATCAGTGGCAACATAAGAAATCAACAATCTCTTGAAACCAATTTTGCGTCTATGCAATTGTGATATAGCATATTGGGCATCCTGAAGTGATGGAACTTTAACAACAGCTTTTAAACTTCCATCTGGCTGTAAAAGCATCGATATATGCAACACCTAAAAATAATAATTGATATTATAATATTGCTATAGCAATACATTATGCATCAATAGAGTAATTAAATTAATTCACAAATAATATATTTAATATAAAATTTACAACACTTTCATCACGATTATTATTGAAAATAAATAGTGCATCAATTCCTGTTAGTGATTTCAATTAAAAATATTTTTGAGTTCCATAATACACAGTGTGCCAATTAAATAACAAGACTGGAACGCTGGTAATTGCTCCATAAGTAGAAATAAATACCACCTTTTGCCATTGGACCACTAGAATATGCTCTTTCCAGTCATCAGTTGCACAAGTCTCAACATGCATTAATTCTCATTTTTAGATCACTTTAATGAATGTATCTCTGTATCAGGTACGTAAGTATAATATGGAATAATGGATAGTTATTAAATTTTACTCAAAATTATGGGAAATCGCACAAACTTTACAGGATTTAAAATTGCATTTAGTGATTAATTTTTTAGTAGAGTATAGGTCTTTTGATGGCATGCTCATTTTCAGAAAGATCTAATCTACTGAGGATGACTGACAGACAGCCAAGTTGATCAATTGTTGAGAGGTTAGAAAATTTGTTCCAAGAGATGATAGTTAATGCATATTATTTAAATAAACATAGAGGTTACAAAAATGAATATAGCAAGTGAGTAATGAATAATTTGTCAATGACTGGTTTCTCTGACAAAAAAAATGTGAAAGCCCATAACATGCTACTTGTTTAACAATTTTTGATCTCCATACAAACCATGGTCATTCAACATCTCCCTATTCACCCAATTTGGTTCCTGCTGATGTAACAACTGAGAAACTGAACAAATCTCAATTGAAGACAGTGTGATCAATATTAACAGTGTATTATACAAATAATCTCATCATCACTATACAATACATTAATGACAAGATTATTTTAAAAATGTATACATTTTTTTTTTTTTTTTGAAAAACGGGTTTGTGTTTATGTAACAATGACCATCTCATTGATTAATTAGCATGCTTTGTATTTAAAAATTTCTTTTAAAAATTAGATAAGTGAAATAATAAAATAAAAAATATGAAAGTTTTGCTATCTTAACATTTTGTTTAAATAAACTTATATATACTATACTATATATACATAATGTAATGTATACAGTACAAGTTCTAGTTAAAGTTGAAATAAATATGAATAATAATTATTCTTTTTTCATCAATTCCATTTTCCACATTTTCTTTTAATTCATCAAGTTGTAAATTCAGTTTTTGACTGAGACCTGATGATATAAGCAACAATAAACATGGGGTAGCTATCAGTTTTCAACTTCCTAGCAATTATACATAACACAGGGAATGTATGGTAACTGGTTAAAAAAATGCCTTGAGATATTTTTTATTCTGAAACCTAGAAATGTGAAATAGAAAAATTTGGGAGTTTTTCCTATATGTACAGATGTTAGTGTACACGGGAAATACAATTTTGTTCACCCACTTTAAAGCTTAACTCCTAAGCATTTTGTCAAAAATTTCTGAAATTTTGCAGGGAGGTTTGTGTATTGGGGAATTGATGATATTAAATTTTGGTAGTCAAAGGTCAAAGGATGAGGAGATAGAAGGAAGTCACATGTCATAACTCAAGGTGGCGTTGGACTTAAGATTTTACTCATTATTAGCATTTAACATCTTTTTATAAAATTCATCCCTATCTTCAAAATTAAGCTTTTTGCTATTTTATGATAATTAATAATATAAGTTTTTTAATTAAAATATCATAACAAATAGTGTCACACACAATTTTAGATTCTTTTATCAGGAAGGTTATGCAACAACTCATTGCTGGATTTTTAAAAATAGATTAATTTTGAATGGAGGATGTAGGTTTTCTGTCCGTTCAACAAAACACCCCAAAATAAGAAAAAAAAACTCAATATATAACAAACCAGAATATAAAATAATGTTTGGGCTTAATTCCTCACAAGTGTGCATGGTACATGCCTGTCCAAGGAATGACTATTGGTACAATAAGTACTTATCACCTTGATAATTACATTTCACAAGTCATTTCAAAAAATATCAGCAAGAAAATGTCACATCATGTTGCAGTTCTCAGATATTAAAGCCCTTATTATATAAGATGTCTGTGCATTTACCAATTCATGTATCAATGCAATAAAACACCATCAATATTGGGAATTAATACCATAGGAGGCACCTTCAATGAAGTAAAACAAGCAGAAAAAACTTGAAACTGGTACTCTGAATTCATAAACTGAATATATTGTTTAAAGCACTTCTGAATATATTGTTTAAAGCACTCTGGACATAGCCCCCACCCAAAAGGAAAGATATGAAAAAATTTAAGTTCAATCATCAAGAAAGCAAATTATATAAGTGTCGAATCTGCAACACCGGACTTTGACATTGACGCTCAGAGAATAACAGGAAAAACAAAATTTTAGATATAAAAGAAGAAAATTTAAAATATTATAGTTAAGACACAGTTTAGAAAGTAAAACGAAACTAGAAAAAATATCAAAATGAGCATAGGTGTCATAGTCAACAATGAAATGCGATCAGAGTCGAAAAGATGGTGTCGGATAAACCATCTTCAGCCGACCTTTCCCGCAAACTATACGAAGCTCCATTTACACCTGGAGACAGGTGGAAGACCAATTAGAAAGCGATGATATAAAGTCTGTCCAATTAGCAAAAAGCCGATCCCAAAAAACTTATAAAAGCACCAATTCCAAGGACAACTGGACTTCCACTAGACTTCTGTTGTGTTCGTGTATCTCCCGTTTTTTTCGTGCATCCTTTCATCTTTTGTGCATCAACTTTTGAGACTTCAAACTTTTCGTTCAACGCTGTCCAGGGGCCTCTACGATGTAAGACCAGATTGCCGTCGAAAATTCCTACAACACAGGACCAGATCGCATCTATCTAAGAACCTTTCCAACGAAAAAATTTATGTAAGCATTTTCGCTTGGAATAAATGGTTTGCCTCTGTAAAACACTTGTGTTTTGCCGCCTCATAAAACCGCCACCCACATACGCGTAGACCTTAGACCATCCCGACGGTAGGGAATAAAATTCCCTACCGTCGTAGTTTTAGTTTAAAGTGTAAGAATGCCGATTGGAGGGAATTTTATTCCCCCCAATCGGCATTCTTACACTTTAAAACTAAACTTCACTGCTAGGTTTTGTAACAATTTGTCAAGAACTGTCTGACATGACATTTACACTCAACAAGTTAAATTTATCTCCCAGAATTTAGAAAGAATCTCTAACAATCATAATCACGCAGACTGCAGTAATTTTTGCTATTTGAAATATCAGGTATAATCAACTAAAGTAGGAATCTGTCTTCATTAATTTGTTCAGAAAAAGTATGTTTCAATTTATACTTTTATCTTATTTTCATTTCATATCAGCTCAAACCAGATTTATAGTTAAAGCCAAACAACTGCCAAATTATCAGGCTATAATATGGCTATGTAATTAAATACTAAATAATTTGGTAATTTGTCATTACTGACCTGTATGGGTATATCTAAATTAATAGCTCTGGAAGCAAAGATCACTTGGAGGTCCATGTAGCATAACTGGCAATGCATCTACATGGTAAGTGTTAGTTCATATTCTTTTCTTCCAAAGTCATTCTAAATTTAAATTAAAAATTAAATTTATATCTAATTATTAAATTTATTATTACATGACAGCCTAATCACCTTACCTATAGCTAAATTACTTTATTTCTAATTTTTAATTAGCCTTATTACAGCCCAACAAATAACCTGGCAGTTCATTTAGCATACATAATAGTATTGGATTGATGTTTATGTTATTTATGATTATTTAATTTAATAAACATTGAAATATTAAACTCACCATGATATGCTCACGAAAAACAGAAAGTAAAATTTTCTTCATTTCATTAGCTTCAATATTTTGATCCAGATTGGTTACCAGCAATTCAACAGGTGATGATGATGTTGAAGATACAATTGGACTCGCTCTTCCAACTGGATGAGCACTGTCACCCAGAGAAAGAGTGGGTGAATGCCAACCCATTTGATTTTGATAATCTGAATTATTAGAAAACGGGCTAAAAAATATTGGAGAATTAGAGTTATAATTATTAAAATTGTTTGTTATGGAACTGGTAGAAACGTTATAATTATCAACTATTGTATTTTGTGAATTATAAATATTAGAATCTGATCTTGAGATAGATGAAAACTGAAATCCAGATTTAGAGGTACAATCTACCATTAAAAATGGAGACACTCTTCCAACATTTTTTTGAGATAATCTGTTTCCTGTTTCAGACACACCATTTGCTTGTGAAGCAGGTGAAATATCATTGATGTTTTGATCTTGATACGAAGACCACTTGAAACTTTTAGAATCCTGAGTGTCACACACTAAAGAATTCAATTTATCACTTCTTTCAGATGCAATTCTTTCTGAACATTTATCAACATTTTTCCTTGAAGCACTATCTTCCATTATATTTGGTGGTGGAGGAAACTCAACTTTTGTTTTTAATATTGGCAAGTCATTTTGAGTATTTACACATTCCATTGCTTCATTATCTATTCCAGTTTGACTAACAGGTGAAGAATTGCAACTACTACTTGAACTAACACAATGTCTTCTGTTTTTGTACATTTTCTGTCTGTTTTGATATTGTTTCTGACTGTTATAATCTGCACATTCATCTCCACTGGTTGATGACTGAAAATATGATACAGTTATCTTTTTTCCAAATACGTCTTCTCTATCCATCCGCTTCTTTGCTCTGAAATGCAATAAAAGAGGATATAAATTTTAACAACATGTTTAGCAAAACTGAATGATATAAATTTTTTTGGAGAGAAACAACAGTAACAAATATACATTTATTCAAAAAGATTGATCCAATTTGACTGTCAATACATAGATTACACAGGTCGCAAAAAAAAATCTTTTTCCATCTGCATGGGATATTTTTGCTGAATTATATGTTTTAAAGATTGGAGATTCTAAAAATGACTTCTGTAACATCCCATCACATATAGGTTTTTTGCAAAATAAATACAAATATTTGATTAAAACTCTTATTTATTACAATGAACTAAATATATTATATTTTCTTACAACTAATCAAAAAATTGTTTGATATTTATACACAATTTTATGTCTACTCTTTTTTCTTATGACGTCTTTTCTTCTTCTCCGAACTCATTTCTGATTTCCTTCTCTGGTTTCTTGATTAAGCATCCAACAGTAGTCAGCTAACATATTGACATCCCATTTCCCTTGGTAACGTCTCTTGATATCACAGACATCCTGGTGAAATCTTTCACCTTGTTCTTCACTGTAGGCTCCCAAGTTTTCGGGAAAATAGTCAATATGGGAGTGTAAGAAATGAAATTTTAAGCTCATCTTGCATCCTTGAGTTTCATACAATGCCAGCATGCATTATACAATGGTTTTGTAGTCAGGATCCTTAAAAACTTACGCACTACATTCTTGAAAGAGTCCCATGTTTCTTTTTCTCCCATTGTTTCCAAAAAGAGGAGATCAGATAACAGGGATATTGACTTTTCGCTGTGTATTCGCCACAAACATAACAGAAGCTGTCGGGAGAAATTACACAACCTCTGCGAGTCATATTCCAGAAATAAAAATACAAGTACAGTAGCATTCGAATGCTGGATATAAACAGTGTGACAATAGATGGCCAGCGAGATACTGAACTTATTTAGCTTGTTGAAACATGATCTAATCCAACAGCAGGTTGTTTATATTTATTCCTAGTATCCCAGATAACATGTTGAAACATGCTCAACCTCGACTTACTTTTGACTTGAAACCAAAACAATGCTTATTTCAAAATACCTTCACTAACTTTTTCGAACTTAGTTCTTCTTCTGGTGAAAAGAAAACGGGCAGAATTGATGTTATTCGAACGTATCTGTTTCATACGAATTCTGAAGGAGTTTTAGAATTCGTATGTCTCAATGGAAAATGGCTAAGTTTTATCAAAATTGATTCATTAAATTTTGAGAACTTTGCTTCTATACATCCATACAAGATGTGCTAGCAACCATGAAACATCGCACAACAAAGTCATGCAATTCATGTGATATCATTGTTACCTGCGATCATGAAATGACCTTATATCTCAAAAACAAAGTCACAAACCTCCATTTTTTATTGCATTTTTGGTTTCCACATCACAATTAATAAAAAATGGCAAAATTTAATCAAAATCTATCAAACGAATTTTGAGAACAAAGAATTCTTTAAGACTCGTAGAAGAAGCTTTGCTGATGCTCCGCTTCAAAAATGAAAATAATATACATTATCTATACAAGCAAGCTTGTAGAATAACAGGATCATTTGAATACAAAAAATACTCAAAAATCTTTGTATGTCACAATGCAAAAGGGAATTAAGACAGCTGTCAAATGGGAAAGCACCAGATCTGTAAAAATGTTTAATGAAGTATGGAAAAATCAGAAAGAATATCATCTGCAGTAAGTCAGAAATCATGGAAAACAGCTGTGGCCCAAAGTCAAAATTATTGACCTTGTTACCCATTCCCAAGAAAGGAGATGCAAGACAATGTGAGAAATAACCATATATTGTTGCATTGTTTCCTCGTACAAGTTTAATTCAGGATTTTACAAAAACAACTAGCATCAATCATAAAAAGAGAAATGCCAGAAGAATAAGCCAGATATAGAAAGAATGAAGGAATATAAGATCAGATAGCAAATATCAAGTGAACAGCAGAAAGAACACAAAAATACCAAAACGAGGTTATTTGTGTTACAAGGCATTATGTGAACCACTGAATTATGTAATGTACAAAGAAAAATGGATACAACAGAACATATTATACTATTGAAACACTTTAGACAAGAAGCGACAGTTAGAACTTTATACTGGTTTGGAAATGGTTTCAAATAGAAAAAGAAATCAGACAGTTTTATATTACAGTACTAGACAAAAATGTAAGTTTAAGTAATATGTTTAGACTGTAAATGAATAAATTGTTTAAATTAAATAACATTAAAATAAGAAAATTATTTTTGCATATGTTAAATAGTTTTATACTCACAAATTATTTGAAAATTAAATATTAAAAAAAATTCAAAATTTTAAAAACAATTATAAGATAGATCAGTGTAAATTTCATGCAATCATAGGAGAAAGTATGCAAATGAAGTTAGGGTCAATGTGGGTAAATATGAGACAGTCCAAAAAAATCGGAAAATATGAGACAGTTGTGAAATTTGACTTAATCTATGTCTGATCTGTCCTGTACTAATACAAAATAAAGTTAATTTAGTGCTTTTTAACATACAACTTTTCTGAATGATAATGACTATGGTTTCATTGAGTATCTTTAATTTTTAAGAAACACTACAAAAATAGGAACAAAAACTTTTCTGTCAGTTCAACTAACTTTTGCTCTGTATATGTCTGCAAAAGATATATTTAATTAGAAATTTGTATGTAGTATACAATAAAACAAGTAGCTGTGTTTATATACATCATCTTTCGTCTGAGTTTTGCACATTTCAAAATAAGATTAAAAAAAAATGACACACCAAATTTTATTCACCAGTCATATTAATTTCCATGAAACTTTTTTACTTTAGTTGTGCTGTATCATAGTAAAAATATTTCTTTGTTCTTACAGGTGCGAGTTTTGAATGAAATAATAAAGATGCCAAACAATTTATATCAGAGAAAAACTAAAAAGTAGGGTCAATGTGGGTAAATATGACACACTTTTCAAAACTAATGAATATATATTTAATCTTGTCTACTTACTTCTAAATATCATGGAGCAATGTTTTATACAAAAATATCTTGCATATAACCTGTAGTAGCTCATTATTAACCTCCCTGTTGGCATAGGCAAATCCTTATAGTGATATAATGGGTGTCTCATTTTTCACCTCCCAGTGTCTCATATTTTACCTTTTGAAGGTAAAATGTGAGACATTGGGAGGTGAAGACACAGGTTAAAGGTAAAATATGAGACAGGAAAAGAGTTTTTTGTTCAGCATTTCTCATACATAATTTGAAAAAATCGTGTTAAAATCTAATGGAGTATTCATCTGTAGACTTTGTCATGTATTTCTCATTGCAAAATACTAATTCTAACAAATGCTGTTGCAAAAGATTTTGAAAAGTGTTTCATATTTACCCACATTGACCCTATATCAAACATTTATTTATAACATACAAAGAGATGCATTACTTGTAATAATCATTGAGTAAACTAGAAACATACCAGACAAATGCCAAATATGTATAACATTAGCTACAGCACATTGAGAACAGCTAATTGCAATAGCAATTTCCATTGCCATGAAATCTCCAAATTTTTGGATATTTCATGGCAATGGAAATTGCTACTGCAATTAGCTGTTCTCAATGTGCTATAGCTATTATAATAAAACATGGAATTGATGGAGCACTAAAAGTGTTCTAGAAGTTGTTTATCATCTCATGACAAAATGGATTTGTTTACTTCCAACTCAATGTAAGTTGTAGCAAGTAAAATCAAACGTGCTACTGGACTTTCCTGTTCAACTCTACTTTGAGTTTTGTAATCCAAAAAAATACTTGAATACACAAATCTAATGAAGAAAACACCATTAACAAAGAAAAAGAATGCTCATTTGGATCCGGCAAGAGAGATCATGATCTGGACTTATCAATAATATATTATTTTTAGATGAAAAAATGTTTGACCTTGATGGGCTTAATTGTCAGAAATATTAACATGGCTTAAGAGTCAAAGATGATTTGAAAACAAATCAACAAATGAGTAGTGGCTCCATGATAATTGAACTATATTTTCAGCCTAAGGAAAGTGATATCTTCATTTCTGGATGTTTGACCTCTAAATCCTCTTACACACTGTCGGAAGATCAACTTAGTATGTTCTTGAAAGTGAAAATTTCATCTTTCAGCAGGATAATACATCTTGCCACAATTCAAAAATGATAGTTTTCTAAACATTGAAATTTTGACATGGCCTGCATGCTCCCCAGATCCGAGTCCAATAGAAAATCTGTGGGAGCTTCTTAGATCTAATTATAAAGACGGGCGACAATTTTCAACAGGTGCAGACATGAAACAAGCCATTCAAACAATGTTGGAATGAAATTCCGGATGAGTAGCTAATTAATTTAATCAGCAAGTACAATGTTATTTGTTGCAAGGAGTATTAATTCACAACATATTCATTTCTTAAATTAAGATGTTAATTCATTTTCAAACTTATAACTTTGTTAAATCAATTTTAAAAAGTTAACATTTATTCTTATTTTTTTAGTTTACTGAAGTCAGGTATTTATTTTAATTATATTAAAATTATATAAATTTGATAAAACTACGATAAAATCAGTTATCATTTTACTTTCCTGACTTTTCATCCAAGGTGAACTTTAAAGATAAATTTAATTTAAATGAGTTTAAAATCTATGTTATTTTCTTTATTTTTTCTCAAAATGAATTTTCAATCTTTCAATTCTCATCAGTATGTTAATACACTTCATAGAATGAATTGTTCCAAATGCTCCTTTACAAAATTTCTTCCTTACATTCAAGTTTTCTAGTTTGACACAGACAAGAAAACTTGTATGACCGAAAGATCGAATTGTCATTGAATTATTATTTTTTTAATCTAATGTATCTGATCTTAGTTGCACTATGTGCAAGTCTAAAGTTACTTTAGTCTTGCACATAGTGCAACTGAAATAGTGTTACTGAGGTGTATTAAGCACGTTC